TAAGAATGTTTTTAATCATTCGTCAAAAGTTGTCGGTATGTAATGTATAGTAAAATAATTTCGGTATTCATGTGAGATGGCACGTGAGGACTAAATTAAAAATGGGAAAAATTCACAAACCATGTTTTAAGTGTGCACATTTCAAAATTAAAGTGGTTAAGTTTAATTATGCAAAAATCAGGTTTCTATCTAATTAATTAAAAATATTTAATAATTAAATATAATAAAAGTCACAATTACACAATTAATGGTCACAGATCTCCAATTATAGGTCACATATTTAATTATTGATTACATATTATCAAATTAATTGGTCACAGATTTTTTCGTGGTCACAACTAAAAAATTTTGATGGTGAAAGATTTTTTCGTGGTCACCAATCAGAAAATTTTGTTGATCACAGATTATTTTGAAGTCGCAAATCAAAATTTTTATGAGTCACAGTTCTCATCATTGGTCGCAGATGAAAAATTATAAGTCACAGATTATATATCAGTCACATATTTTCAAATTTGTTAGCCACAATTATCAAATTTTAAGATCACAGGTCATAGGTCAAACGGTGGATCACATACCACCACCACCTCCTTCGTCACCATCACCCTCAACCTGTCACTATCGCTGCCGCCGCCACCAAACCACCACGACATCACCACCAGATCTAATCAACTCTACCAGCTCTCCAGCCACCAAACACCATCTCCACCGCCATCGGAAACCACCCGACCGTCACCACCAAACACAATAATAATACCCAAAGCACAATCTCACCACCGTTTCCACCCAAATCACCACTGCCAACAACCATCGCCAACAACACTACCACCACACATAGCCACCGTCAGGGGCACCACCACTGCAAAACACAAAACGGAAAAATTTTTAATGACTTGTTGCCTAACCACACCATCTGTAACCAACACCGCCCGCAAGATCATCACCTTGACCCCACCTGCATAATCACACAATCTGCGACCACTAATCATGACCAACAAACCACACACCACCACCAAAACCACTGCCTATCCAACAACCCCCACCACGACAGTCGAATCCATCCCTATGCCACTACTGCCACAAACAAAAACCATACCACAAACAAAAATAAGTAGTCGCCGGAGTGAGTGAGTGAGATCTAAATCTACCAACGATGAGATCGAAGAACCCGACTGGAGATCAAAGAGAGGTGTGACAGAGCCATTGAGTGAGGTTGCTTCAGAGGAGTAGAGGGAGAAAAAAAAAAACATAATCACCGCCTGTAAGGACGGTAAGGTTGGCTCAATGCGTCGCCACAATCGCCGTCGCCGTTATGAACCCTGCCGCCGTCGCCGTGTTTTGTGATGAAAAAAGGGAGAGAATAAGGAGAGATAGAGAAGATGGTAGAGAGAGAAAGATGAGGAAAAATATTAGGGATTGGAAGTTGAATTGGGTGAAATTAATATTTAAATTATTAAATCAATACCTAAATTTTGCATAATGAAACTTCACCCATGATTTTTGAATTGTGATGTTTAAACCCCTACTATTGTGTAATTTCCTCAATAAAAATACCGTACGTTAAGAAGGGGTTTATTCGAGAAATTTGCACACTTCTGTGAGACGACACTTGAGGACTAAAATTAAATATATTTCCAAGATTTTAAACTGATTTTAACTAGGTGGAAATTACATGGTAGCAGGTCTTTGAAGATCACAATCCAAAAATCAAGGACCAAGTTTGATTGTTCAAAAACCAGGTTTTAATATAATAATTAAATATTAACTATTCAAATTTAATTCCCAAACCCTAATATTTTTATCCCTCTTCCCCCCTTCCATCTCTCACTTCTCTCTCTCTAACTTCAGTCCCCCCCATCCCGATCGACAGTCACTGCCTTTCTCCGGTGCGGTCGCCACAACACTCAGCAGGGAGTAAAACGTCCATCACTGTGAGAGCCGTGGTTTCCTCTACGGTGCGATCGCCTTCTTGCGCAATGGTAAAATCTCCATCGCTGTGGTCGCTGGTTCGATTTTCAGCAGTGGCAATGTCGAGTATAGAGGTGGTGGCGATTGCTAGTGGTGGTTTGGGCTGATGTGGTTTTCAGCTGGCGGCGTAGGTGTGTTGGTGGAGGCTGCTTGTAATGTGAGCGACCTTGTCACTGCCCATTGCTCCGATTTTCAGCAACGGCGTCGTTGGGTTGTGGTAGAGGCAAACCATAGTTGGCGGCGCCGGGGTGTGTTGGTGAAGGCTACTTTGTGAGCGCCGTGATGTCAAAACCCCGTTGCTATGAGCGCCGATCTGAATTTCAGCGGCGACGGCATTGGGGTATGGTGGTGGTAGTGGTGGTTTCGGGCTGTCGTGATTTTTAGCGGTGGCGGCGTCGAATTGTGGTGGTGGCGGAGGCTGTTTGTGGTGGTGGTAGTGGTGGTTTGGGGTTGTCGTGGTATTCAGCTATGGCGGCGTCGGGCTGTGGTGGTGGTATTGAGGCTACTTGTGGTGGTGGTTTTGGTGTTGATGGGGTTTAGGTGGTTTTTGTTGGCTGTTCAGGTAGGGATGCTGGTGGCGATGGTGGATCTTGTTGGTGGTGTAGTGGAGTTGTTGACGGTGGTGGTGTGGTGGTAGTGCTGTGGTGGTGGTGTTGGTGTTCTGGTGGTGTTGGTGGCGGTTGTCCGTGACCGATTATTTGGTGTCTGTGACCAAGCAAATTTTATTGTTACCAAATTTTAACTGTGACCTACCGAAAAAAATTTGAATTATGACCTGAAAAAAAATTTTGATTTGTGATCTCGACATAATTTGTGACCAATTATTTTGTGACTTGTGACTAATGTGACCTTAAAATTTGATGATTGTGATCAACAAATTCAAAAATATGTGATTAATAGATAATCCGTGACCAATAATTTTTCATCTGTGATCAATGATGAAATTTGTGACCTATAAAATTTTTGATTTGCGACCTTGAAATACTCTGTGACCAACAAATTTTTTGATTTTGTGACCACGAAAAAATCTGTTACCAACAAAATTTGATTTGTGACCAATTAATTTGATGATATGTGATCTTAAATAAATCCATGGCCTATAATTGGAGATTTGTAACAATTAATTATGTAATTGTGATTTTTATTATGTTTAATTATTAAATATTTTAATTAATTAGATAAAAACCTGATTTTTGCATAATTAAACTTAACCACTTTAATTTTGCAGTGCGCATACTTAAAACATGATTTGTGAATTTTTCACCTTTAACTAGTGTTATTCCTATTAACATATTCTATTGATGACCCATCCAATAACTTGCATGTCACATTGGACGGTTATCTTCAGCACTATGATAAATAACATTATTCTCTTTTTAATGTCTAAAAGGTGAAAAGAGAAACTCGTGTGGGCAGTCCAATTTCCAGAGCATGAATGGTTCCCGATTGTAGAAAGGATCGAGCACGAGTTGGGAGGCAGAATCCCAGGAAGTCGGAGAAGAAAGCTACCATCCCTGCCATCACCAAATTCCAACGTCTCAAGTCATTATTCTCGACGTGCATAAAAATCAGCACCGCCACCGTCACCAAGTTATGCCTAATACCGCCACCACCGATGCAGCCGAGATATGGTACTGCTAGTACCACACGCTTTTGACTTCTTTTTCCAATCTGAATTAGTGTGTATCAACATACATTATATGTTATCTGATTCACATAAAATATCTATCAATAAATTTTTAGTCAAATTATTATGACTACACATGTTGGTCCAGGATTGAGCCTAGGAAGAAATCAATTAGTTTGAAAGCCAAACGTGAATGTTATTAATTGGATTTATCTTACAGGAGAAGCAGTAGAGTTGAGCAACTTATAATTGAAAAAGATAATAAATTAATATGTAGAGGGATTTGTCAAATTTATAAGTTGAATGTTCATACTGTCGATATTCCTATTTAATAATCTGGATCTCCATCTCTCTCGCCCTATGAATTGCCGTTCGGACATATGCAAAAGCCATCAAACTAGTGCAATGGATACCGGCAGACCGGCAAGGTTTATGGTGGCGATGCTGGTGATCTTTCTGATACTCGAGTGTTTACCGATGGTTTATGCCTAAAGCTCCTCCACCTCTCAAGGTAAATATTTTTGATAGCGTACGAATTTATTTTGTCACTTCATCCAATCTATTGACAAAAAATTAGTTAATCATCTTGACACGCGTAACATTTGGCCGAGTACTTTTTCACTTTGATTGATCAAAAAGTACATGTTCAGTTACTCATTGTTTGACAACCATTATTTCAAAACTCTTTAATTATCATTAATTTTCAACCACATATTTACACTATAAAATATTTTCCAAGTAAACCCAAAACTTTTCTCTATTTTTTAACCACATTATTCAAAAAATCACTAATCAAAACTTCATTTTCACAAAATAACGGCCATCAAACAAGGGCTTAGTTTTCTTGTTTTTGAGGGTCAAAGAACACTACTAGTCACTCAAGTTTAGAGAAATCTCATGTTAGTCACGCAATTTGAATTTTGTATCAGTTTGATCTCTCAATTAAAATTCATTTTTTTTCCCCTTAAACAGAATGTCTTAGGTAGAACAGAGCATCAAGATGAAAATCTTCATCACGTATATTCTGTTACAGAAACCAAGGAATTGTAATTGAATTATTAAAATAAAACAAATGACAAACTTTAACTACGACTACATGAAACTTGGCTACAATTGAGAGACTAACGTGCTTAGGGACAGGCCGGGAGCGACGTTCATCATGGTGCTTGGGAGGCAAATCAAGAAAACTAGCTATTGATTGCCGTGGGTATTTTGTTGTTCTGGAGAGTGGCACCGCATCGGAGAGCTTGAGAGTGGTTCCCAGCCCCCCGCCGGCACCAAGGCACAACCTACCTCCGCCTCCCTAGTGTTGAAGTCTCAAAGTTTATTTTTTTCTTCTTCTTTGCAAATCTTGTCTCAAATGATTATAAAATGGCCCAAAAAGAATTTTATTGATGTGGCGTGTTAAAAAAAAAAACAAAAAAAGCAAAATTTCATTTAAATACAGAGATGAAAACTACAAAAAATTCAACTGCAAACTACACCTTTTCAGTCCACTTTGTTAGATATCTTTATGTAATTTAAAAGCCTATCTAGAGCCTTACCACTATCAATGGCCTCTCTGGCTCTTTCCATGGCTATGGAGATATCTTCTGCACCATCACATCCTAGCAAATGATCAACCATTCCAGCATTTAAAACAATACGATCATATGCGGGACCCTTCTCCCCACGCAGAGCTGCTAATCCCAATTCNCTAAATACAACCTAGTTCGATCAATCATCTTGTAAAAGAAAGTTTAAAGAACCGAATTTCTTATAATCGGTCATTGTTACTGTAAAAATTGTATGTTTGGCTATGCTTAAAAGAAGTTAATTTTTTTACCTTTTTTCAAGTAAAAAATTAGTTACTTTTTTGGGAAAATAAGTAACTTTTTTTTTGTTGACCAATGAAAAAGTTATTCATTTTAAACCTAACTTTTTTACTTATAAATAAACATTCCCTTACTGTCTTAAGATATTTAATTACCTTCACCACCAAACCAGCTTGAACACCTCTTCTTCTCATTAGCATCAAAATAGACTCCTCATAACCTCCGTGATAAAATCCAGCAACAATTGCTTCCTTACCGTGTGCCTAAAATTGAAAATAGCAATTGGTTATGAAATCTTAACCTACTCTTAACTACAAACTGAGACAAGGGAGACTAAACATTACATAATTTTAAATTTTAACTGCAAGGTTACACATATAAACATGATTGTCTTTCAATTCTTTTTTCTCTCTCTCTTTTTTTTTTTGGGCATAGGTTGTTTCAGGGCAAGCAAGTTACATATGCGAACACAAAAAATATACATAATTTAATTCATCAAGAATATACTAAGAAGACATACCCGCACAAATTGCTGAACTTTCTCTGTCGTTGCCAATGGTGGACGTTTCTTTATATGTTCCCTCAATCCAGTCAGTGAATATCTGCAAAGAGGTACATGATGCAAATATGGCAAAGAAAGACAGGAAGTACCAATAACATATGCTCACTACAAAGATAAATAAAAGATAAATATACTAAATTTTTTATTAAATCGGCTTGAGGAGAAATAAATAGTTGATGTCGTAGAAAAACAAGGAGAAGAATAAATATTCATACAAACAAAAATGTAATAAGTTTGTCATACTGAAATGCACAAATCAGCTTCATTAACATTACCCACTAGTTAAATCCATTTGTCATTAGATCAGTGTCCAGTGACAACATCAAAGTATAACAGCTCTTTAACACTTGAATATAACCATTTTACAGGATTGTCATGGAATAAAATTCTTCCCCTTGGAAAATAACTTGTTAATGCAACGCAAGAAGGTGAAAGGTATTTTATATACCCAAGTGAAACGGGGGAGGGACGGGGAGAGCTCCAGATATGATTGTAAGGTTTGCTTACAGAGATGGACGAGCTTCACGTTGACTTATATATGCAAAACCAATCTTATCATCCTGGATGAGGAATTTCAATGAATGAGAGTCAACAACATAATGACCAACATGTGGATACGCAGGCACATGTACACAAACTCAAGCACATGTAGAGAGAGAAAGAGACTGACCTCAAGAAGCTTTTTAGCTTGCAGTGGGGATAAGTGCGTATTTGCCCCCATGAACTTCAACATTTGCTCTTCTGTAATGCCACCCTACAATCAATATTCAGTTTGCAAATCAACAGTTTTGGACTCTCTAAGTTTCACTTCTTTTCAAGTTCTATAGACCAGAATCATCATAAAACAAGTAATAACAACAGATACATATAGACTAAGTTCTAAAAACCAGAATCATCAGTTCCATCAGCAACATATTCCATTGATAATGACATTATGTTCCATCCATATCAATTCTTCAATTAATCAAAGATGAAGAACACATCCCAATGGCAAGGTAAACTGACTGATAACCTTAGGCGGCATCCAATCCACGCCATGAAGCAAGCAAGATTCACCATAACAGGATCTAACTGCAGCTACAAAAAGCGTGCTCCTGAAGTAGCGGGTATTACCATCATAAGGTTCACCATAGTGGGTCAATGATTTCACATCAGCAACTGGTACTGGGCCTGGTAGAGCAAATAGACATAAACTTAAATAGATAAACGCATATTAACCATCAGTGCTTGCTAACAAAGCTACTATTAAGCTATATACTGAAGAAAACATTACCAAGTTCGTCATCAAATGCAAGGCAGTAAGCTTTTAGCTCTCGATCTGTTTCCCTATTCATGCGCTGACCTATCAAAAATGCTGAAAGTAGTGATGTACTCACATTCGCTGATAAAGTATCTTCTAACCTCAGTGGAAGTACGTCTTTCAGAACACCCTGAACCTCCTCATACCCAAGATGACCACCAGCCAAGACTTCCCTGAGCGCACCCACCAGTCTCATATCAGAAGTGCTGTTGCCAATAAACTGGGGGCCTATAGAACTACCTATTTCCATGATGGACCCTTCAGGGTCAGCTAGAAAGATAATATCTGGAGGTAGTACTCGAACTAGTTGTGGCCAATAATAATTTATTGCTTTCCTTTCGCCTTCACTCCATTGTGTTGGCTCCGGAAAGGTATTCACACGAATTGTCATTGCAGCAAAAAATGCCCCAAGTTGCGCCTCGGATACTTTCTCTTCATCTTTGAGCTCTCCCTTCACTGGTTTTGAACAAACAATTATGCATTAAAAAGCCAACATACAATATCATTGCTTTGAATTTCAATTCAAAGATTATAAACTATATCTGCAGACTTAGATGCGTTGTACTTTTTTCCTTTTTCTACCACATTATAACGGCATTTTCAAACTTCATAGACACTGGAAGCGCACCAAGTTCACAGTTTGGTATTCTAAATCTCATTTTACCATGAATCAATCAGAAAGCACTAACTTTAAGAACTCTATAAATTCATAATAGCATGAGCATTTATATAAAAATGTGTTAACTCAAACTAGGAATTCGGTTAGTCTATAGCTCAAAGGAACAGTCGATTCCAAGCTCAAATGAACAGTTGGATTCCAAGATTGATATTCTCAAACTGGCTACTATCTCACATTGCTTATCATGGTTGAACTTTTAATGGAAGATGCAATAATGTGAGTAAATAGAACTTTGACAATATGAAATCAAAATCAAATTGAAGTGAAATGAAACTTACCTGATCTCAAAATGGTATCAAGAACCTTAAAAGCCTGTTCTTCTTTGAGAGGCCTAGTCTGAGTAGGCCCGGTGCAGACCTTAGTTTGGGCATCCAAAACAGTTGGGTTGGGCGGCCGGAACTTCGGGTTCCGGTAGGAGGTTGAAATCGCCGGGTTCCGAATATGGGTTTCGGACAGCCCGTGTTCATCATCCACTGTAGCCGAATACAAAACAGCTTTAATCCTTAAACCACCATTTTTTGTTGTTGGAAGGAAAGTGGGTTTTTGAAGGGGAATTTGGGGTATGATTTTGCGTACTGGGATTGGAGATAAAATTGAGTCTGAATTAAACAGAGCTTTCATTTTTTTCCCCTTCTTTTTGGGTATTTTTTGGAGAAGTGGATTTGGATTGGGGAAGTCGCTCAACGGAAATGGTGGAGGCAAGTACCAGGCTGACGTTTGATTTTCGTTCACTCCTAGAAAAAGAAAATGCGAAAAAGAAAGGGACAAGTCTGTAATGAACCATTCTGCATCTATTAGGGCGTGTTTGATTGGCCATAAATTTCATGAAAAGTGAATTCCACTTTTTATCTTTATTATTATTTGATGACACAGATTTATCATGAAATTTATATTCCAAGTTTCCCCCACGCGCCCGTTTTCCTTCTTTTTCTGGAATTCCAATTCTTATGGGTTTGGTAAGAATTGGAATTTCAGGCAAATTTTTTTTTTTTTTTTAGCAATGAGAGCAAATTATATGCTTAATTGTAAAAAAAAAATATTTTTGCTTAATTGACAATTTTCATGTAAAATAAAGTCAAACGAATATCAAACGATAGATGATTTTTTTGGATGTTTCCTTTTTTTTTGGCAATGAAAACAAATTCTGTCTACAATATTAGTAAATTCTATCCTTTTAATTAATAATTTTCATATAAAACAAATTCAAACGAGCACCAAACAATACCAAAAAATACTTAATGGAATTCCAGGCAATTTTTTTTATATATTTTTATTTTTTTAGCAATGGAACAAATTCTATGCCTAATTGTAAAAAATTATTTTTCTTTAATTGAGAATTTTCATGTAAAACAAAGTCAAACGAATACCAAAATATGGATGATTTTTTTGGTTGTTTCCTTTTTTTTTCTTTTTTTTTTACAATGAAAACAAATTATATCCTTAATATCAGTAAATTTTATCAATTTAATTGACAATTTTCATGTAAAACAAATCCAAACGAACACCAAAAAATACTTTTATTTCAACATTTTTCACGTGAAAAATTACACAAATCAAACATAATAATTTACAATTCCCAAGAAAACAATTTTTAGGTAATTTAATTCTCTGGAATTCGTTTTCTTTCCACTCAAATTCCATTTTTACAATCAAACAGACTCTCATTTTTAAATTCGTTCTTCGTAGAGTCCAATTGGAGTAAGAGATTCGAGCGTAAGTCGTTCGTTATTTGCGCACAAGTCATGTTGAAGCTCAAACAGGAATCTCGACAATATCGTAAACAAATAATAAAGTGAACGTGAATCTAAGTATACGTCCTACAAATGACTGTAGTTTATTTAGTTTTTCATAAACATCAACTTTCACTGAATAACACAATTATGATGAGATTGATTATATTTATTAAATAAAATCTAAAATTAGCTAACAAATCTAATTAATCAACTAATAGGGAAGTGTTTATGAAATTCAATTGATGATAAACACTTGACCCCTCCCATTTGGTATTGATTAATATCTGATTTTAATCTCAAGTGAAATCCAACAATTAATTTTAACAATATATTTTATGGAATTTACAAATTTTTAATAACATATCGATCAATTTTTATCAAAATATACTAAAAATTTGAGTTTAATACATACTAAACAGTGGTTAGGACTTCAAATATCCCTGAATTCTTCCATCTTAATATCAATTCCATTATTTGATGACATTTATTTGGGACTTGAAGATCAATGCTCATATTTTATTTAAGAATAATCTCTTTGAAGTAAAATTTAAATTTATCCTCACATATGATCCAAAATATTCCTATCCCAAATGCCAACATGTGGAGATGCAATAAATCACAAGAATATTTAGTAAGATCATCAAAAACATAAACAATTATTGCTAATATCTTAGACTTTATAATGATTGTTACCATGTGTTAAATTCGTAATCCTTCTCCTATATATCTATAAAAACCAAACATGCGGGGCGGTGGGGGCCCTCAAAGTTGGGGTTCAACCTTTTTTTATAAAAACCAAACATTAATTCAATTAGTGGCTTAGTAATTGAAAACATTAAGATTATAACAATCACTCAAATCAAAACAAATATTTAATGTCAAAATATGAAATTTATCAAAACATCAAAACATTGGGTTCATCGTTATCCTAGCATCTATTCAATAATCCATGCATCATATGATTACAAAAACACAAACTAAGTTGATACAACATCATGGATTTTCAAGCTCCACGCGATGATGTATGAATTTGTGCTAAGGAATTTGTATCTTGTATTTAAAAGCTCATCCAGATCTTGTAAGAAATATATATTTATTCTTATCCTAGGCTTCCCTTGGCTTCGACCTTTGATAAATGTCTATTATATCCAAAAAGCTTCTCTTTCGATGGTAGATGAAGATTGTAATTATAGCCCTAGATTAGGTAAAGACACTTGTCCTAATTGCATTTCAAGTAGAGTATGAATCAAAATAGGAGACAAATCATTCTTGGTCGAAAAACATATGCAATCGAATAGTGTTTATACGCACAATATTGTTATAACATTTGTCAAACTTTTAAGCAAATCAATGTTTTATTCATGGTATGATTAATAAACCGATTAACGTCGACAAGGGGCAGGGGGCCTAATGATATATGTTAGCCTACAGAACCACCCCCAGCGACGAACAAGGCGGGTCACTACACGTCGACGTGAATCCGTCGACCCCCCGAGGGCGCTCTATCTTCACGCGAGGCCATCGACCTCCTGAGGGTGCTTTACCCCTACGCAAGACCGTCGACCCCCCGGGGGCGCTTTATCTTTACGCGATGCCATCTACTCCTCGAAAGTGACTTATGTACCCACCCCAACACTTAGTAAAAAATTTAAGTAAATTGACAAAGCTCCATAACGGTTATTATGGGTACAACCTTTAGGTGGGAAGTTGGAGATCCCCCATGAGAACGTGGGTTAGTGGGGAAGCCAACGTGGGACACGTGGCACCACGATCGCCCGACACTCACCCGACTTCCAGCACCTATAAATACCCCAGAAGACGACACAATTAAGGGGATTTTTTGACATTTTCTAGCTATATGAATTCCATCCTTATTTCTCGTGACGCACATACTGATTCTCACACCGGAGGTAAAACGGGGGAGAAAGCCCCACCCTCACTTTTGAGGTTATACACGTTCGTCGGAGTAGCAGGAAAGCCACCGGCCACCAGGTCGATTAAGAGGTATTATTCCACCACTATATCATTGGCACCGTCTGTGGGAAGTTTCTTCCATTGAACACCAAAGCCATGTCAAAAAGATGAATAAGAAGTGACACGTGCTTGAGAGCAGCAACGGTAGAGACGGAATCGAAATCAGTCGCTAGGGGCCCCAACCCGCCACTGCCGTCGTAGTATGTGACACAAAGCCAGTTCAGTGCTCTGGAGACCTAGCTATCGACTATGATGACCCTCTTGCAGAGTCAAACGCAGGGAGCCGCCCTCCTGCTGCATTCGACGGAAGCTGCACCACCACCCAATGAGGCGCACATAGAAACCCTGCCTGTCATCCAACCGATAACTGCAGGCTCAAGGGCTCCAAGGGTTACGATCCTGCAGCCTAACCCACCCATGGCGGATTTGGAATGGAGGATGAAGGAGATCATGGCACAGAAAATAGATGATGCAATATCAAAGAGAAATGATAAGTGCAAGTAAATGGTCTTAGAAGAGAATCTATTTGCTCCTGAAATTATGGTGGTCCCCTTGCCTAAGGGCTTCAAGCAGCCTATGATAGAAGCTTAAGACGAGGTCACAGACCCACTTGACCATCTTCGGACCTTCGTTGATTTAATGAGGCTCTATGCAGCACCTGATGCAGTCATGTGTCGATCTTTCCCCCCGACCCTTAGGAGAGAAGCCAGAGACTGGATGGCGACACTTGCCCCTCGATCTATCTGAACATTTGATGAACTTTCCAGAAACTTTGTGGTCTACTTCCTCAGTAGTAAAAGAAAGAGGAAGACAGCCATCGGGCTGATACAGGGGGTCCAGGAGAAGGACGAGTCTCTGCAAGAGTACCTGGCCAGATTCAGCCGAGCGACCCTTGGAATAGAGGATCTTTAGATGTCAGTAGTGGTGACAGCGTTGATGAACGAAACTCGAAACCAGGCCTTCAAAATGTCACTTTCCAAGAATCCCTCAGAGTCGATACACGACCTATTGAAAAAGGGAGACAAGTATGTTGATGCTGGAGAAACGGAGAAGGTCACAAAGCATCTCAGAGAGGGATGGGAAATGGAAGGTCACAAGCAAAAGGTGGGAGACGAGCTGAGATCTGCCAATAAAAATAAACCAAAGAGTGAGCAGACGGGTAAGAGAACTATCCAAGACCGGCAAGTCAAGCAAAAAGGAGAGGAGCCCAGGACATTCACCCTTTAAACACCCCGTGCATGAAATTATTGATGAAGATACGAGATATGAAGGATCTTGAATGGCCGAGGCCCATGGCAACGCCACCCGACAAGAAAAACCAAGGTAGATACTATCATTTCCACAAGGATCACGAGCATGATATGAAAGAGTGCCTGCAGTTGAAAGACGAGATCGAACGCCTCCTGAGATGAGGGCTCTTGGGGAAATATGTGAAGGACAACCGAGGTAAACAAAAAGTGAAGGACTATCCCCGCCTAGGGTGGGAGTGATAAACGTGATTGCCGGGGGGTTAGCAGGAGGCGGAGATTCAAACTCGGCAAGGAAAAGCTACGCGCATTCTCTTGGGATCTATTCCATCCAAAGGAAAGCGAGGTTTAGTCAGAACATCACTTTTGACGAGGAGGATTTGGTAGGCGTAGCACACTCCCATGACGATATCTTGGTGATAGTAGGCAACATAGCTAACTTCGACGTCAAGAGGGTGCTGGTTGATGGGAGAAGCACCGCAAATGTACTTACATGGGATGCTTTTTTGGGCTTAAAGATCCCCCATGACAAGTTGAAAATTGTAACCACACCCCAATTGGACTTTGGAGGGCCACGGTAATTTCGGAAGGGACCGTAGTGTTCCTTGTCATGCTCAGCACATATTCGACCACTGTGGTAATCATGGCAAGCTTCTTAGTTGTAAAAAATCCCATGACATATAATGCGATCTATGGTTGGCCATTGCTAAACGCAGCTGGAGCCATCCCCTTGATCTATCACCAGGTCATGAAATTCCCAACCAGCAGGGGGGTTGGGTGTGTGCGAGGAGACCAGCAAGCATCTAGGAAATGTTATGTCGACAGTATATCAGTGAAGGAAGCACCATCG